ATGCTGTGGAGCTGAAAGGAAAGAGACAACAGCCATGAGGACACAGATACAAGTCAACTTCAGGCTGCCGCTCGCGGAAATAGATCAGACCTGGAGATAAAGAGTTGGATTTATTCCGGCCGAGAGATTAAAGCTTTACTGCAAATTCATCAACATTAACATTGACTCTTTTAACGAGGAATATTTGGTTTTTGTTGGTTTTACATTAAAAAATTCAAAAGTCATTAAATGTTTCCTGTGAAAATGTGGAATCTGGGTGAACACAGTAACTTCCACTGGTATAAATCTTACTTTTGTCTCTTTAAAAGAAAATAAAATGACTGACCTGTTGTTTAGCAAACTGCTCCTTCTCCGCAGCCAAAGCTTTTTCCGTCTTATTGTCACTCTTGTTCTTCGTTTTGCTCATCGTGGTGTCTTGTCTCCACACGAACTACAAGTCAAACCCGCAGCGGCCCCGCTCCAGGTTTCAGCTCCTCACCTGAGCCTCTTTAAAACAATAGGTGCGTCAGAGGCGCCGCGCGCATGTCAACAATAATACGTCTTCTTCAGATTCAACACACCAGATTCTGAACAAAGCTGATTAACGAGCAAATGAAGCCGTTTTTTCTTGTGCGTAAAAGCGCTCCAAGCTGCGTAAAAACGCACGCGGCGGGGAAATAAAACTCGCCAAATCGTTGACGCGTTTATTAAAAAGTCCGATTGTGAGGCAGTAAAATACCACAAACAGAGTTGAGATATAAATAATTTATAAAAAAAAAAAAAAGTGTCACGATGGCGAAGTTACAAAGTGTAAAAAGTATAAACAGCTCTGGACATTTCCACTGAGTCACCGGAGAAATCTGAAGGCAGCGAAACAGGAAAGACAATACAGAGACAGAGCACTCAACAGCCCTGTAGGACTGGTTTCACATCTCACCGGCTCCACACAACACCGCCTTTAAAAAGCTTAAACAGGAGCTAAAAACCTACACATACACTGCTGCAACATGGGGAAAATATACAAGCAGCAAATCAAAAACAAGATTAAGGATATAAAACATTTTCTAACAGTCAATGACAGTCTGTATTTTATCACTTCATTATTTTCCTGAGACAGTGAGAGTTCAACCTTTGGCTGAGAACACACAGTTTCAGGTTGAGGGTCTATTTAATGTGAGAACACTGATTCAGCTCAGCACCTGGTGTCACTTGGGTAAATACTGAAGTTTCCTCTAAAAAACACTCTGTTCTTCAGTCAGTGAGGAGCCATCCGCTGGGCTGGCTGGTGCCGTGTTCAGGGCAGGGTTTGGGTGGAGTTTCACCAACCTGTTAAGAAGAAGAAGAAAAAAAAAATAAAGCTGTTTATGTCTTGTGAACACACCCAAACTTAAAGGTGGAACAGTTGAACCAAACACTGATTCCACACCCTGTGAATACAAATGGAGGGAGAGCAGAGAAGATGAAACTCCTCTCACCCTGTGTGCCGGGCTGGTTGGGTGGTGGAGGTGGTGGAGGTGTTGTTTGGGGGGTGTTTGGCACTTATGGGAGTAAAGGGGTTCAGTGGCCCCATAGCTCTCAGCAGGGCTGCTGTTGTAGAAAGAGCTGTGGAGTCTCCAGCTGCTGCGCCTGGATTCATCTACCAGCTGCTGCAGAGCACATCTGGACAGATGATCTTCACCCTGATAGGAGGAGACGCTCAGTCATCAGCTGTTACAAGGAACAGATCAACATTCAGGGGAATATCTCATGACCCCGTGACTCTCGTGTCTGTATGTCTGTTAGACATGAAGTAAAAGTACAGCCAGGAGACAGTTAGCTTAGCTTAGCATTCACAGTGGAAAGAGGAAGAAACAGCAGCACCTCTAAAGCTCACTTATTATTACTATAATTATTACTAGTTTTTACACTTTGGTTTTTGTCCAGATTAATCAAGTAAGAAATAATAATTATAATTACTGAGCTTTAGAGGAGCTGGTTGGTGGATTTTGTTTCCTTCAGACAGAGACAGGCTAGCTCCCTGTTTCCAGTCTTTATGCTAAGCTAACTGGCTGCTGACACACTCCCCGGCCACGTTATCACACCCACACAATCCAATGCAATCCAGTGCATCACTTCTGTCACATTATTTTCTTCTTTTACATCATATTAAAATGTGCTTTTAATAATCTTCCATCCACTCATATCTGTAAAGAAAAACATCATTAACTCCTGTTGATATAAAGCAGTCCATCATCACCAGCGATAAACATGTGATTGAACTGACACATCTGTATCGGATGGTATGAGATTTTTTAAAAGGTGTTCCTAATAAAGTGTGAACTTCCATGTATCCACTCTGATTATTAAACTGTGCACCGCGTCGTCTCACATCTGTCAGCTGCGGCGGGAAGACTCCCAGGTCGTCGGTCACGGAGCCTCGTAGACCGGCTCCCGGTGCGGCCGTGGCGTCGGCCGCCGGTCCCGAGTTCTTCCCCCTGACGGAGGCATGAGACCGGTTCTCCACACAGCTACAGGTCAGCTCCTCCTGGCTGAGACACACAGAGAGACAACAAGATTAAATGTCAGTGACCGATACAGCTACACTCAAGCAGACAGTATTTAAGAATCACACCTTTTCATGAGTCGTTTGTTTGTTTTTGTCTTTTTTTACCAGGCTCAGCTGTGGTGTGTGAGGAGTACAGCAACACTGGCTGGATCCCTACAATGGACTGAGTCTTGGTCCATAATCCAAGACCTTGGTCTGGCCTCTTCTGTGAAATCATCGAGCGAACAAGGAGTTTTGTTACGACCGGTTCTTTACGATGTGGCGGCTTCAGCTTCACGGTCACTCCGTCCCCTCCGTGTCTGAATGACAGCATTACTCCAGTGCGTTAGTACTGGATCGCATAATGAAACCAGTAGCATCATCTTCACCGACCCTCCCTGCCTGGAAAATACCCCAGACTCTAAAACCTCCAGTGTGTAACTCAGGCTTTGTTTTAAACGTGTGATTATTTAAACCTCCTCCGGAGCCACAGATACAGTTAAACAGCTGTTTTGAGATTTAACCCTTCATGACATCAACGTTGGACGCCAGGACCTCGGAGGAAACTTGTGTTCACCACTGATGTGAGCAGATCAACATGTGTGTTTCCGTCTGTGAGGGTTTAACAGAACAGAAACATCTGGTCCTATCAGATTAGATTGAATCTTAAATAAGTTGAACATGTGTTAGTAGAAAAATACGTTCACACTTTGTTTGACCTGATGTTTAATGACTCTTTCTGTCTAATCTGCTCCTCGCCTCTCCGCTCGGTCTCTGTGGAGGTGAAGTGAACGTAGACGTTCCAGGCGACGTGATCTCGATTCTTCACGTCTGATTTTCTCCGCATGGCTGATCCCGGCAGCAGTTTGCTGCCCGCCGACCGTCTTTAGATCGAGAGCCGAGCATGTAGGAGGTGAACGTGCTGCGATTTCCTCTTGATCTTGGTCGTCTGTGGAGACTGACGGAGTTGGAGTTGAAGGTCAGATCAGGGAGCGTCATGGTCACATCACTGAGTGTGGGTGTGAGCTCGCTGCATTCAGCCGGTCCATGTCTCTTTCTCCTTCTGGGCTCTGAACTGCGGCGGCATGAAGGCCGTTCTTCTCCGTTCATCCCCTCAATGTTCACTGACTCCAACACAGTAGCTCCTCTACAGCCACAAAGATATCAGTGCACACATTTAAAAAAAACAAAACATATTGCGCCTCATTAATTATGTTTTTAATATACACTGATCACCTGCCGAGTAACCTCCCACTGGTTTTCGTCTTCAGGGTTTCACGGGCACTTTCCAGGTTTAACTGCAACAGCTGCAGGTCGTTCCTCTGATTCTCACACACCTGGAACACAAAGGACCTTTTTATATTCAAAACTAACTATAAACACTTAAAGGACAAGCTCGTGCTCCTTTCAAAGCCGTCTTAAAACAGTGTTATTGTCTGCTGAGACTGTTCCGCCTCTCTCTACAGGCTGCACAGAGATCACCTGCTTAAAGCAAGCTCAGTTTGTGCAGGATGAAAGGAACGTGAAGCATGTGATTTTTTCTGATCTTCCACATTTAAATACATGAAACAAACAAAAATGCCACCTCTCCATCACACTCTCCACATCAGCTCTGTTTTAATTATGTCACCATGTTGCCCCTTCTTCTTCTTCTTCTTCTTCTTCTTCTGCAATAGTTTAAACTCCTGAATCGCACATTAATTAACATTTTCTTTTGCAGATTTTCTGGAACTTTGGTTAAAGTTTGTGCAACATGTGAATAGAAACTTCACTCTGAAAGTATTTATTCATTTATTTCACTGTGTCTTTAAAAACACTGATCATAATCTAACTGTAAAAATGTGTATTTGTTGTGAGTACATTGTGCAGGTTGAACTGAGTAGGTAGTGGACCTGACCCAGACTCGCAGGAACACTCTCAGGTATGCTGCCAAACCAGAAACACACCTGTGGCGATGACGGCAGTGTGAGCAGCAGGAATGAGGAAAACACATATCTCCCGAGCTGCGACCGACCTAACAACTGTTTCGTTACAGTTCATTTTGTGGCTTCAGAAACAGCTGCTGGTTCATTTTTATTTCATTCTTAGACAGCGTACCTGACGCAGGCAGCGGAGTTCAGTCATGGTGCGCTCCTGTTTGGAGCGAGCCAGTTCCAGCAGCTCGTCTTTCCAGCTGTCGCCCTCCCCTGGTGGAAAAGATCAAATGCTGCACTTATCTCAGCAGGAACCGGGGAGGGTAATCAGACACTGTATCAGACACCCACTACTGCACAGACCAAAATCCAGAGAAGAAGACTGCAGAGATAAGAGGGGATCACACTCACTGTTCACCCAGGAGTCTCAAGATAATCATATCTACTGCGTCTACAGTAAAGTTTAGTGCTGTAACGATGAGTCTGTTAATCAACTCAGATAATCAATTAATCGTTTGACTCTTTCCACCTTCTCAAATATGAGAATTTTCTACTTTTGTCTTTGTCAACTGCATATTTTTGGGTCAATCAGATGTTGATTTCTGGGCCCCTGCGAATCAGTAAAGGGGATTTTTCATCATTTTATAAAAATTAAAAAAAATAAATGTATTTCTCAATTAATCTGATAATGTGATAATGAAATTAATCCTGGTATGATTAAAATCATCAACCGCATTTATCTGGATAAATTCAGTGTTATATTTGCCATAATTAAAATGTGCGCTTGAAAAGCACCGAATAGAACATAAAACATGGAGGTTACAAAACACTTGGCTTTATATGTAATGAATATATATGAATTAAATCAAATATTATATATATATAGAAGAGAGAAGAAACTAGAAGAAACTAAAACTGATAAAATACCAACAATAAATGGATCATGAGAAATACTAACACACAGCAGATTAAAACTCCTGAGTATTACAAACATAAAATGGATCAATAAAATCCTGGAACAGATAAAACTGATGATAACTATATCTTCTAACACTCCAGCTGAGTAAACAGTTCAGAGCCTGTGACAGCTGAGGAGGGACGAGGTGCAGTGTGTGTGACGTACCTGTCAAAGCCAGATCTCTGCGCAGCAGCTGCAGCTCCTGTTTGAGTCGGATGATCTCCTCTCTCTGAGAGCTGCTCTGTGTCACCTGCTGCTGCAGCTCCTCTACAGCCCCCACACCACACAGAGGAGAAGAACAGCTCATGGATTAAATCTGTTGTTTCAGTCATTGTTCAAAATAAAACCAGGTTTCTAACCAGGTGTTTATTAGTAAACAAGTGCATGACTAAAGACTGCAGACAGGGAAAGAAGCAGCGGAGCGGCTGGATGACAGGAGAGGTCGTTACACAGTGTGATGCGGGAAGCTGGGGTTGACGCTGTTTAATGATTGGACAAGAGCTCTGTTTGAGGCACACTGACACCTTCATACTGTATGTGTGGCTCTACTACACTACACTGTACCTGCCGTAAGGAAGTGAAGATTTAGTCACCTACCTTTAAGGTGTGTGACCTCATGTCTTGCTTCTCTGTGCCGGCGTTTACTTTCCTCTAATTCCCTCAGGAGCTTGGTTTCCCGTGATAGACTCTCCTTCAGCGACGTCTCCAGGTCTCGTACGCGTCCTGTGAGGTCGAGTATTTGACCCGAGGCCTCAGTCACATCTTTATCCTGATGGGAGGGCAAAAAAGCAATCACGTTAACCAACCAGCAGAATATCAAAAACTTTTATGATGCATACAAGCAATAACTGGTCTTCTAACGTACCTTGAGTTTGAGCATGGAGCTCAGTTCTTCCTCCCTGACCTGCAGAGAGCCGACCTGAGAGGACAGAGCCATGAGCGTGGAGTTCAGACTCTGGTTCTTCTCCTAAAACACGACACAAACACCAGAGACACTAAGTCCCGCGTCACAAGACTGTTTTCTACTGAACGTGAAAAGAGTGAGTAACTAAAGCCACACACTTTAATATGCACTGGTTAATAATCAATTCTTATCCTCCTGATGGATCTTATTCACGTCACTGGATTCCACATGATGTGAACATGTTTTTCACTGAGAACATTAATGTGTATCAATTATTAATTGAAGTTACTCTCGTACCTCGAAGTCTTGACATTTCTGGCTGACGTGCTGCTGCTTCTGTTCAAGCTCAGAGAGCTGCCGCTGGGCTGCGCTGAGCTCCTTCTGGACCTCCTTCTCCCTGGTCTCCACCACCCACACACGTTTAGTCAGGACTCTGATCACCTCGTAACGCTTCTGCAACTCATCTGTACAAAAACAAGAAAAGATGCTAAAACACAGAAACCAGGAATGGTAAAAATAAAAGCACAGAATCTATATGAAAGCTTCTTGGTTTCTGTCTCCTCACCGTCCAGACGGGTACACCTCTGCTCCAAGGTGAGCACCCTCTGGCGGTCTTGTTCCCAGGCGTGAAGCTGCTTATGATGGGAGGCGGACATGGTGTTCAGCTCCCTGTCTCTGTCCTTCAGCTCAGCCATCAGCAGCTGCAGCTCCCTCCTCTGCCTCTGGATGGTGGAGCCACTCAGGTCGTTCACAGAGAACTTTTGCAAAGCGCACATAGAGGGACACGACAAGACAGACATGGTTTACAGCTGAAGCAATCAGTTAACTGATTAGTGGACAGAAAATTTGTTTGCAAAAATTTTGATAATCGATTAAATCAATTAAATTTTTAAGCAAAAATTCACTGATTCCAGTGTCTAAAATGTAAATATTTGCTGGTTTCCTTTGTAACTTGTAATATTGATTTCTCATTTCAGAAGGTGCACCAGACAATGAAGTGTATTTTTAGTATCAGAAAATATTCCAATTCCAATTAATTGATCAGTTGTTTTTGTCTTTAAAATGACAGAAAATAGTGGAAAATGTGAACAACAAATTCTCAAAACCCAAATCAACATATTCAAATCTCTTATTTGTTCCAAATGACAAGACTCAAAGATATTCAGTTTACTATCACACATAGTAAGAAAAACATCAGACACACACACGTGAGACGCTAGAACCAGCGATGCTTGGCATTTTTTCTTGAAAAATTACTGAAATAATAATAATACAAACTAATTGATTAATTGCTTCAGGACTACAAACATACATGGCTGCAGAGATGTGAAAAAAAAAAAACGATGGCACAAATATTTCCTCAAAAGGAGTTTGTGAGTGTAAAACTCTTTGCAGTCGACTCTCAGGCGTCAGACAGTCTGAACATGAACATAACCAGATCTGATCTCACCTCAGTGTCCAGAGAGCTGCGGGGACCGGGGGTGTCTGCTGGGATGGGAGGGGTACGCTCGGCCCACTGTTTGGCCGTGTTGTCCATCCTGATGAAGCTGGTTAGGACAGAGCTCTGGCTGAGATCCGGTGGAGCATTTTTCTGAAAAGTGTCATCACATGCATTCAGCTGGCAGTTTATTAGGGACATGTAGCTAAATTGAATGAAGTCTAATACAACAGTCCTGCAGTAAATCCTCCATTCATGAACGTTTTTAATATTCAGTTTGTGTTTGAAACTGTTTTACAGAGTTTTATATCAATAAAAGGAAAATAACAGAAACATCTTTTTGCATAAAGCAACACAGTTCAAGAGCAGCACAAACTACATACTGCCAAAAGGATCACACAGGTGAATCAACACCTGTCTGAAACACTTTCAACCAAAGCTGAACTTAATGCAGGACTGTTAAATTAGACATTATACTCAGGCAATGCTCTGCTATAAGACAACGAAGACATTAAATAAAACTAATGTACTGACCTTTTTAACCGGAGTGCTGTGCCAGAGCTCAGCTGAAATGTCTGAAACAAAGTCGGAGGGAATGTTTGAAGGCTGAAAACTTGCCTCATACAAGTAAAATAAAGATATTTGATGGGATAGTTGTTGGTAAAGACGGTGAGGGTGTCAGTTGTTAATGTTTACCATGTGAGAAGGGGAAACAGGCTGAAGCCTTTCCACAAGCTCTTCCATCCATCTGAGGTGGGAGGGTGGGTGGGGGTCGCTTCTCCCTCCGTCTATCACATTGTCACACTAACACACTTTCATTGTTGTTGTGTAAAATGTTTATCGATACCTTCAAATGTCATTTAAATATCGTCAGTTAACGACACATTCTCTGGAAAACTGAAACGGCTAGGTAGCGTTAGCTTCTCGGGGAGTTTGAACAACTTTTTTTGAACGTAAATGGCCGCAGTGGAGAAATCGGGATCGGACGATTACGTCACACTAACGGTCGCGCTTCATTTCCTTTCAAATTTTTTTTTTTTTTACTGAATTCCCAAAATAAAATGTTATAACCAACAGTATAGCGGTTGTCACTACAACTTCTTGTCCAGACTCGTGAACGTCGTTTAGGAACAATCCAAGTCAGCCTCATTAATTTCTCACTTCCGTACATTTTGTCCGCACCTTGAAATACTCAGCCCAGGATACAGGATGCCAACAGATTTTTCAACATAAAAGCTGGATGAACAATGCGCACTGTTTTACAAATTATAAATATTAAAGTCATTATAGAAGACTATTGGGGACTATTAAGATAATCATGTAAACTTGAAAATTCAAATATGATTCCATGATAGCGATGTACTTTTTCACACGTGTTTTGGGATTACACTGAACTTTACTAGATGAATATGAGCAAAGCAATAGAAGCAGTCAGCAGGACATTTCCAGGGACAGATGAGATGGAGCTGAGAGAGTGAAAGAAGAAGAAAAGAGGAGGGAATGTGAACAGAGTGATCAGGAGTAGATTAAATAAGATACTGTCTGATAATATTACAGCACATGTTGTTTATCCTATGATGCTATTCTTTAAAGAAATTTTTTATAGAATTAGAGTAAATGTTCTTGGCCTTGTTGTGGATCCATGTCTGCTCAGTTAGAGCAGCACATATTATTATGAAATTAGAGTAAATGTTCTTGGCCTTGTTGTGGATCCATGTCTGCTCAGTTAGAGCAGCACATATTATTATGATCTGGATTTAAATGTAGATTTGTCATCTAAACATTAAATCTGTGACTTCTACTCCAACATAGTGTGACAAAAGTAGGTATCAAGATTAGTGATGCTGGTTTGATACAGTAAACAGTGCATGAAGCTGCTGTGAATGGGGAAAAAAAATCCCCGGGGGAGCATGTCCCCTGAATATCGACTTATGTTGGAGCTCAGCCCAAATGTTTACAATGCCTGGCTCCGCCCCTGATTCTGATCCTGTGTCAATACCGTCTCTGCCTGTGTCTCTGCACGGTTCACACTCCGGGCCAGAAGGGGGCGGTAAAGCGCCGACGTTTCTGCGGTGGTCGTCGCCGCTGTAACGGTCAGTGCCGCCTCCCTCCGAGCCGGAGGCCGAACCGACACCTGAACATGTGGGCTACTCACTGCGCTTTCAGCCGAGTCAGAGCTCCAGCTGCGAGGTGATGGAAAGGACGGGAACCTAAGTGGTCAACAACCAACCGGCTGTCTCGCTTGTTATCTCTGAGGTCATCTCTGCTCCACCTCTTCACCTGCCCGGGTCCGTTGGAGAACCAGAATCGCTCTGGCTTTCACACCGCGCCGCTGCTAATTCTGCTAACGTCGGCTAACCAGCTGCAAGCTCCTAAAAATGGCCACTGTTTCAATTCCTGCTGGTACCAGTGCACTGTTACTGGACATTGAAGGCACCACCACACCAATCACATTTGTAAAGGTAAGTTATGTTAGATAGAGCTGTTGTTTTCCGTATTAAGTCTATGCTAATTTAATAAGCTAATTACTTAGCGTGCAGTAACGTCTCCAAAGCCGTGCTAACAGAGGGCTGTCAACGGCTAAACCAGCGTAGCTCAACGGTGTTCGGTTATTGTTGACTTCAGCCTCAATTTAACGCCTCTTTCTCCTTTTGCTTGTATTTATCTGGTTCCTCTTTATCTTCGTAAATTCCCCTTTATTCGTTTAACAAAACCAACTTGTTTCAAACGTAATGGTCGGATTGTTTAGACAGGATATCTGCAGGTCTGCTTTTAAAGCATTGCATTCAGTTTCCGCAGTAAACAAACAAAAAGTCATAAGTTAATAAGCCAATAGGTAAAAGAATAAATAAAGAGAGGCCATATAAAGTTTAATGTTTAAGTCCTAAATGAAGGAATGGATGAGTAAATAAATTAAGGCCTTATAAGATTGGAAAAAATACTAAATAAATGAATGAATGTATGAATGAATAAATAAATGTTTGACATGGTTTCGCTATTTTCGCTTGAAAAATGACTGAAATTGTTAAATTTATTATCAAAATAGTTGCCGTTTATTTTTCTGTCACTCTTAATCATGGCAGCTCTAATTTTGAGGTACTTTACTTGAATATTACTATTTTATTCTACCGTCTACTAATCCAAATAAAGATGGTAGCCAGAAATGACATTGTACAATGTAACCCAAAGTTAGATGTTTATTATCAGTATATTAATGTATGTATAAGTTCTTTTCAAGTATTTTATAGTTTCATACAAAATAACACAATTTAGGGAACCTGGATTAGGAAATAAAGTCACAACTTGAGTCTTTAAGGATTTTGGAAATTAACAACTTTGGGTTTCTTTTCCCATAGCACAGAAAAAGGGAAAGGAAAAATGTTATTTTCGATCTTGATTTTGTAAATAAATATGAAGCAGTACGTTTTGTGTCTAACACACTTTGTCATTTTCAGGATATCTTATTTCCTTACATTAGGGAGCATCTTGAGGATTACCTGTCCACTCACTGGGAAGAAGACGAATGCAAACAGGATGTTCATCTGCTAAAGAAACAGGTAAGAGCATCCAGTGAGTAAAGAAGGGAACACCATGACCCTTGCAATGTATAATCATCGGTCCGTTGTTGGTCCAATAAATGCCAGACAATAATTAAAAAACACATAAATGTTTAGTTTGATCATAGGACACTAAAAAACTGCAAATATTCACATTAAGAAACAGAAAGTAATGACATTTTGGTATTTTTGCCTAAAGCAAGAACTGAAATTTCTTGTTTATCAGCTAATTGACTTCAGTTGAACATACACAAAATTCATTCAAATGAGCCTCCTCCTTGTGACCTCATTGTATCGCTCGCTCTTTGCACAAATCATGAATTTCTTTAGTAGGTTTTCAGAGCATTTGCAGCCAAAATTAAATAAGATGAATTAAATATATGATGAAAAAATTGGGGACTGTGCATAAAAAGGTTCATGCATTATTTAGCTCAACCCTTAAATTAAAACTAAAAATTAAAATTTTAATCTCATAGTCACAGTTTTATTTGCATCTGATGTGCCAGAGCACAGATCGGCAACTAATGTATGAGGATGTGCAGCACATGACTTTGCAAATTGTCCTGCAAAAACTGAATTTATTAAATTGCTGTAAGTATGTGTGTTAAAGTGGGATGACTCAACTTTACTCAATTTATTGACACTTGAAGCAGGAAATGTTTTAATATTTGATCACTGTACTTTGAAAATGTTTTGTTTGAATCTATCAATACCTCCCACATTTGAATCCACCTGATGAGTTACGATATTTTGTCAAAGAAAACACAAACAATGCTCCAACGCTCCTTTCACAAAACGCCTGCCTGTTGTGACAGATTGAAGAGGACATGAGGCAGAACCGGGCGTGTCCTGTCCACGCCGTGGACCAGACGGTTCACACGGACGAGGAAAAGGCCATTAGAGAAGTGGTGGATAACGTACTATGGCAGATGGCGGCGGACAGGAAGTCAACGGCGCTTAAACAGCTCCAAGGTCACATGTGGAGGACGGCGTATGCTTCAGGGAGAATCAAAGGCGAGTAAGTACACTGATCATTTTCCTCACTTCTCTGTTCTGACTGAAGTAATGACTGTAAGGCTTCCTGAAACCCGATCAATATGACATAAACATAAACAGCCCATCCACCAGGACCGTCTCACAACATCCATTACCATCGTTATTACATTAGGAACCAGGAAGTTGGAAACGCACGATGAGTCAGACGGCCGTGTCCAGTTCTGAGAGTCTAGGAGAGTCGTTACTTTAATGCTGAGTAGCTACTAACGTCTCCTCCAGTCCGTGATGATGTTGATTTTATAATCAATATGCAAAACCTACTTCAGCCGGGTTATAGGCGTCCAGCTGAAGTGGTTTTCACTGATTCCAGCTTCTCAACAGTCACTTTGTCTCTCATGATGGTTAACTGCATAATCTTTGGTTTTTGACTTTGCCTGCAACATTTGAGAAACTGGAACCAGAGAACATTTGGCATTTCTGCTTTGGAAAACTGAAATGAAAATTAAAAACTCAAATAATTAATCTGTTGAAATAGATCAAAATTTCTTTATAATCTGTTCTGAAAATAGACAACAGTTGTAAGTTACTTTTAAATCTTTTATTTCTGAGGTTATGAGAATTGAAGGACCTACAGACTGTGTCAGTAATCACATTAGGTATATCCTCTGATGCTGGGCTTGTTTCAAACAGGATCTATCAGGATGTAATTCCATCCATTAAAAGATGGAGAGGACAGGGCCTGAAAGTCTACATTTACTCATCTGGAAGCGTGGAGGCTCAGAAACTTCTGTTCGGATACTCTGTTGAAGGAGACGTTTTAGAGGCAAGTACAACCAACTCATCATTTCAATACCGACACACCGACACTGACGTTACCTTCACATAACTGTCTTTATTTACTAACTCTGGCTTTTCTGTTTGGGACTTTTGTCTGTTGATGCTGCTGCTGTTTATATATAATGAGATGTTCCGTGTTTAATCTTTTCAGTTATTCGACGGTCACTTTGACACCAGTATAGGACCTAAAGTAGACGGTAAAAGCTACGAGAGAATTGCAGAGAGGATCGGCTGTCCACCGGAGGAAATCACGTTCCTGACAGACGTCACTCGAGGTTAGTGATCTCTGACACTGCACTGAAATCAGGTTGTTATTCACTAACATGCTTTAGTGCTTGTTTTATTTAGTCAAGTAGCAGGAGTCTGTGCAGTCTGATAAAATACGTCATGAATTTACTATTGGCAGTTGCAGGTCGTGGTTGTGATTTATCTCTACATCCGTCCTTGATGGATTCGCACCTGATTTTATACAGATTCCCAGGCGATGAGATCTTATGTTTTTTCGGTTTGTTTTTTTTTTTTAATTGAAATATCTCGACAACCATTGGATGGATTTACAAGAAGTTTAGTTTACTTTGTGTTCAGTACTGCTTTGCAAATATTCGCATCCTAACTTGCTAAGACAACAAACATTATTCCCGCCATAGATCAACATGTCAGTGTTGTCACTGTAAACATGTAAACATGCTGGTGTTAGCATTTAGCTCAGGGCACCACTGGCTTTCAGGGAACCTTTAATGATGTCATCTTGCAGCGTAGCTTTGTTAATGAGTCTGGATTAAAATCTAGGATCTGTATTTACATTTTGTCCCTGCAGAGGCTAAAGCAGCTGAAGAAGCCGGGGTGAATGTGTTGGTGGTGGTCAGGCCTGGGAACATGGAGCTGACGGACGAGGAGCGGGCCCACTATAACCTCATCACATCCTTTAACCAACTCGAACTGACGGGACGAGTTTAACACGGAGCGCGGAGGAAGACGAGGAGAACTTCTCTGACTTCATGTCATAATGACCTTTTCCTTCTCTTCTTTGCCCCCTCCCCTCCCAAACCCCCCTCCTCCTCCCACCCACCTTTTTTTTTTTTTTTTTTTTGCAACTCTGATGTTTTTTTGTTTGGTCTATGTCGACAGTTGGAGAGATGTAGGAGAGGGGCTGCAGTTAGCCTCTAAGTTCTTTCAGGATTCTTTTAACATGTATGGAAACACATCTCCGGAGCATAATAGGAGCAGAAATGGAAAACCACTCTCACTGGACCTTTTGATTGACTGGGAAGACGACAAGACAAGCTGTAGATAAAAGTTGCTGCACGTGACCTGTGAGGTTACTTTACCTTTTTACCTTTTAGATGACCCGTATTTGTTCGCCAGTCCTATATATGAGTTGTATTTGCCACCGTTTTGTACACGTCTTCCACTCGATTCCTCCCTCTACATGTACACGTGTTGCTGATGTATGGCATTTTATCCAGTAACTGAACTGTGATGTTTTAGAAAGTAGAATAACAGTATAGTTAGCACTCAGCACAGGTGCTGCCAACAGAGCGTTTTCATTTTCAGACTTAGTTCGAATGTCTTTAATTAATCCCCTCACAGGTGAACGGTCTCTATTTAAATGTGCCATCCCCGTTGTTCATATGTAACGTGGGTCCTTGGAAAGTTACCTTAAAAATTGCAAATTGATGATTTATGCGTGAAACATAATTGGTATTATTCAGGAAAATTACTTCCAATAAAAATGCCTCGTCTCACACAGAAGTTGGTCTCCTCTAACAGTACTGGATGCACGTAATGCAAATGCTTGTTTGTTAAACAAAGTTCACACAAATCATAAAATAAAACTCACTCATCACTAGTGGTATTGACCCAAACAGATACTAGTTTTGATTTTATATGCCAAACATTTTAAAGGAAAATTTGTGACATTTTGGGAAATACACTAATTTGCTTTCTTGCCAAGATGAGACGAGAAGATTGACACCACTCTCGTGTATATGGTGGCATATAACATGTTCATTTTCTAGCTTTAGAGGAGCTGCTGGCTGTAGCTTCATATTTAACAGATGTGACGGCAGCATCGATCTTCTCGTCTAATTCTCTTCAAGAAAGTGAATAAGTGTATTTTCAGAAAATGATGAACTACTCCTTTATACATGGAGCTGTTCCTTTTAAAGAAATTCCTCTGGAAATAAAAGCTTTACTGTTTTATTTCACAACAAAACTACTGGTGTTAGCACAAAGAAACCAATGTAATTTCTCCCTTGAGCAAAACTAGCTGTTTGTCTTTATGCTAAGCTAAGCTAACTGACTGCTGGCTCAAGCTTCATATTTAACAGACAGATATTAGAGTCGTGTCAAAATCCAACTGTCAGCAAGAAAGCGAATAAACATTAATTATGTCAACTACTCCTTTAAAGGTGGAGGTTTAAGGTCATTCTAGAAAACAAATAAAAAACTAAAAAACTTTAGGGACACAAGACTAAACACACATTTAGTGTTTTTTTAATACTGATAGTTTAGATATGATAGCATTCATTGATTCACACAGCCCCTCAAAACTAAAGCATTTGGAAAGTTAAAAAAAATATCTATATGTCTTTAATGTTTAAAAAGAAGTGCAAAACTAGTTTCTCAATTAAAGCTTCCTCATAAACAGAAAAAATAAAGAAACTGCAGCAGATTTTTGGTGCAGCATTTAAAAAATGTCACTTTTACAAGCTTCTGGATAAAAAATATGCAACAATCAAACATGCATATTTGAAATGCGGTCAGCATGTTTCAGTTATGGTGATACCAGAGTAAAGGACAGGCGTAGGAACCAGGTACAGCCTCTTCAGGTGGAGGAAAATGCATCTCAAAGTTGTGACCCGGTGTTAACATCCCTACAGTTGGTCCGCCTGGTACCTGCACACTTGAGAGTGGGTTTCTGACAGGCTGACCGGACGCCCGGTGTTGTCCGTGCACACCACGTCGAAGCGGTTGTGACGAAACTCAATGGCAAAAGTGGCGAGGAAGGTGAGGAAGAACATGACCAGCGCCCACTGGCATCGAGCGGCGTGCATGTGGAGGCGCTGAGCCATCAGGGAGAAATCTGCGGCACGTGAGTTAAAGGGTCAAACATGCAAATGGAGGATTATAGAACATAAAAAGAGAATAATCTGCATCCATCGTAAAGAAAAGGCCTTTCTTAAAACAATAGTCATGTGATCAGAAGTCTGACTTCATCAAATCCAGAGGGTATCGACAAAGTTTCAGTCTTTGTTATTTTTACTATTAGCTGCAAGTTTCATTTGCTTTTTTTAAATATTGGATGGACACGCAACAGTTATGGAGATGTATTATGTAAAAATGACAAGAATATGATGTGTTTAATATCAGTCTGTAATGTGTGTGTGTGTGTGTGTGTGTGTGTGTGTGTGTGTGTGTGTTTGGATGGGGAGAGCGAAGAAGACAATATAGTGATAATAAATTATGTAATCCTGAATATAATCGTAGAAAGAATTTAATTTTAGAGCAATATAATAATGATAAAAATCATATAATAATACTTTATATAATTTATATGACATCCTGTCAATGTAATGGTAATATATCTTACAACAAAAACATGATAAAATAATATAATAGTGTAGTGATACTATGACAACCATTATATACAGTGTGATACAATATATATATGTATTATTATATTTTTTTATTTTATACAATATAATCATTTGAAATATAGAATAATAATAATAGTATAATATATAGTATTACCTAATAATTTTTGAATAATAATTTTGGGTTCTGGGAAATTGTGACGGGAATTTTAGTTTATTGTCTGACGTCGTTTCGGCCAAACGATCCATCGCAGAATTACTTAGTAGATTAATCGATAATGAAAGTAAGTTGCATTCTTTTATTATTAAAATCGATAACATATAAAATGTCGGTATGTATCGATAGCTCTTTAAATGCTCTGAGTAAAAGGATACAGAGTATCATGCAGAGGGTGATGGCTCCAGACAACAGGAAGCGAATGATGCCGGCCTTCCTCCCCTCGTTCCTCAGGTTAACTCTCAGGGTGATGTAGGACTGCACCCAGCAGAAGAGCGTCCCCAGGCCAAACGTCATGAAGGTGCCCAAGTTGTGAATCATCTCCTGAGTGAATAACTAAAACCAAAATAACAAACATCAGGTGTATTGAACTGAGTCCATCTATAAATTGGTGTATAAACTGTTAAATACACGTATCTGTTGGTGATGTGCGTCACCTGGAAGTTCCCTACGAGCGTCATTCCAAAGCAGCCGATAGAGAAAGCCACCAGACTCGCAAAATTCAGCCACGGTTTGTCGATGGCCTGTTTCAGCTGGAGGTATCTGAGGACGGCAATAATGAACCCTGGAAGGGAGAAGGAACCAGTGGAGATATGTTTAGCATGTTGCATGTTGTGTGGCAACAATCTGTCTGTTTATGTCTAAAGACTAGGATTTAACTATAAATATATACACTGACAGTCCCTAGTTTAATTTGATTTGTCAGAATTATATTCATTCTAATTGTTTCCATCTTTAAACATTTATATCTTCAGTAGGATCCGCTGAGCTCTGGGAAGTTTTGAGAGACGGATAAACACATATTGCATATTTTATACACATATTGAATATTCTAAGTTTGTATTTACCATATTATATTGTAACTATTGAGATAATCAACACTGGTGCGTCACTGCTCTTACCCACAATCGCTGCCAGGTTCATGACCTCGCTGAAGATGCAGCTGGCTGGTGGAAAGTTTCCTGCAATACTGAGAGGAGGAAAAGTAAATAATAAAGTAAATAAAATAAACATAGTATCTACAGTATGTTTCTACTGTGAAGAGAAAATGACGAGTACTTACCTAATATATGGAGCATAAAATGATCCATTTCTTCTCCTAAAATTAATAAATTAAAAAAGAGAGATTATGATGGGATATAAAAAGTGATTATTTGCTGTAGATGATATTGAGTAGGTTCTCACCTGTACTGTGAGCTCAGCGGAGCTATCTTCTGGTCCTGGACAGCTAGAAAGTACCTATCAAAATGCATCAAAACACATCATGGTAAATGATGATAGATGAATAAAGTTATTATGTACTGTAATATCACCTGCTGCAGGAGTAAGATGTGCTGTTGGTGTTTTACTGTATATTATTCCAATGTTACTGGAGCCTCAGATTGTTGTGCAGCTGTCACATGATGGAAAAATAAACAAAAACAAATACTGGATTGCATCTGTTTGGTGCCCCTGGGCCTGTGCCTGTCAGGCCCCTTCACTAATCCATCCATGGAAACAGACCTGGTAGTTAAATTAAATCCAATCCTATAATTAACAGAACTTACACCGCCCACAGTCCAGCAGCTGTGCACACGGAGTAGACGGGAGGCAGAAGAGCCCACGGACTGCAACCCAACATCCTGTCTCCTCTGACACCACAGAAGAAGAAGTTTGTGTTAGTTTGCATGGAAGATATTAATCTGTTGAATATGTCTGATGTGTATCATGGTGAGTAAGATGGCGAGAAACATTTTAACACAGACACTTCCTAGTCATAACACACAGGCTTTAGTTCACTTATATCATTCAGACAAGACACTGTTTATTTAAGGGTTTTTAAGTCATAAATAATGGCTTTATTAGCGTTTAATACATCACCTACTAATAATTTAATTAATTATAATTAATTAATAGTTAATAAATCAGTCATAAGCCATTAATAAGAACAACTTTCGTGTTGGCAGATTGTTCAGTTGTAAATATTCTTATAACTGCTCTATAAAGCATTAAATAAATTATTTATTAACCATTAATAAAGGTTTTCATTGCATTTTATATAGACCATGGATGGATTATGACACATCGGGCCCCCTACCCTCCTATAGGAACACCCAGACTGAAAGACACACAAAAGACCACAAGCCCCTGCAGCTGTATTGTCTGTGTTTGCTTCTGTGTGATCACTATGCGTCTGTTAAAGGACTGTTTGCACCTGTTTGCAGCATTTTGTGTCTTCCTGTAGTTGTTTTGTGTCAATTAATTGGTTATTTTTTTTTACCTGGTTGAGGTTGTTTTGTGTCATTTTTGCATCCATGCCTATAACTGATCTATTATACAGTATTAGTAAATGCTCATTATTACCCAGTAATAAAGACAATCATTACGGCTGATAAACCCTTTATAAATGGCGCCTAATCAGAAAGTGGTGCCCATGTTTCTACAGTTCTGACGTGTTTATTCAATAAATGGCATCAAAACCAAACCGGAAGTGAGTGTTCTAACGCTGAAAAACAACAAGAGCAGAACACAACACCGCTCCATGTGTAGACACACAAACACGAAGACAACAGGCTGCTCGTGCTGCTTTGTAAACAGAAGGTAACCGTCGACTACTTACCTGTCCGTGCGTTGTTGGATGATCCGTCAACGGTCCGACGCCCCCTGCGTGAGTTACAGGCGGCGACTGTCCTGCACGTAAGTTTCTTTTAAAATCCCCTCCAGCGCTTTTCATCTACTTCCGCTGTGTTTGACATCGGTAACAAACGTCGGTCGCACCGGTAAAAAAAAAAAAAAATCGTTAACGGCGTTTCCACACACGCCCAAAGGTCGTTTTGGCATCACACACCTGGTAAGAGACGAAAGAGTTTTCTGGCAAGGTAAGACTTCCGGTTTGGGCGTATATCCTTCAAAATAAAAGCACGGGAATGTAAATAAGCGAGTGACAGTATCCGGATATCTGATGCAACGTGAGGATGGAGATGATACAGAGGATAAAATGCTGCTCTCATTAGTTTTAGTCTTCAGCTAATGCAGTTTAAAGCAAGGCTGGATCACCAACAAAGCGGGCGACTGCAAAGGGATCCCAGACCCTCCAGGGGCCACAAAAGCTCACCTAACTACCATATCATTTCTGTCCAAATAATTTAATTAATCAATAATTTGTTAGAAATCTGTACTGAAGATCCACACCAAGTATAACAGGTCCTCCATCCTCCATGTCAACATAAAGAGAAAGGGTGGCATCATTCCCTCACAGAAGAACTGTAAGGCTAGAAAACATTTTCTTTTTTATTTTCTTTTATAAAAAAATGTATTGTTTATTTTTTTTTTGCTCTATGAAATGATTCCCTGAAGTTGAAATCAGTCAAAAACACAAGCATGTTGAGTTTATCTATAAAACTGGAAAAATAGCAAATATACAGATTTGAGAAGCTGGTAAAAGTGATTTCTTTCTACTTTAATGATTATTAAATTATTAATTATTACAAGTGGGCGTCTCTTGTTTGTATATTTTCTATACACATGTTCAAAGATTTCAAAATAAAATAAATGCTCAAATTTTCTAATTAGCACAAAACACAGTATGACTGAGGCTGAGGGGAATGTCATTAGTTTTGCAGGAGTGTTACAGCAAAGGCGAACTCGTTGGTCCTGGTTTATCATGAAGTTTGCTGTGTGCACTTTACTTTGGAGGCAACAACGGTCCAACAGCAAATCTCCCGGGGCCCGAAACAGGCTAATCTGACCGTGATAAATACAGATAACTACTGCATACACAGCCCCAACTGGGAAATTACATAACAGTTTTCTTTTTGTGAGTTACACAAAAACCCTATTTATCTTTATTTATATTTAGCTCCCTGTGGCGATAATGAAAATAAGAACACCGCAGCTTCAGTTCAGAGTTACATAAATTAAAAACAACTATTTGATGCATTTCTAAGTAATTTGTGGAACTGAAGGAACAAGTTAATCCAACCGATAAAGGGGATTTCTGGGAGTATTTACAGCTGAGGAGCAGAACCTGTAGTTATTAAATTCTCTTGGTACATTGCCTCATATAAATAAATAAATATCAAATACTCAGATTGGATTACATGAAATTAACATTGCGTGATATTAACATGGAAGAGAAGTTTATTGTGAGATTAAATTTTTCCGTTTATATAAATGTCCATTGTGGGTTTTTTCTTGCTATGTGTCAGTTGTACTATCTGTATTTGTCAAAATGTTAAAATGAATTAAAACTATACGACAAAAAAGGACATTTGGTTCAGATGTTCATGTTCTCCTCAAGATGAATTATAAACTTCGTGATGATCCATTGACTTTTCCTCTGGCGCCAACATCTGGTCAAAATTCAGATTTGTCCTGTTCTTTAGTTTGTGACCAAATACCTGCAAAAAATCTACCTGCTTCAGCTCTAAGTTGTATGTTAGTCAGTAGATTTAAATTTAAACAAAGCAGCATCGTATTGTAAATAAATACTATTTATTGAAAATATTGCATGTAGTCAATCTAAAACAAAGACTTGTTTTCTTTTATTAACAACATAAACTTGAGGTTGACCACTCAGACTGCCGCCCTCATCATAGCTGGAATGAAAATCAAGTATCATGTTTCCAGTCTCCTTCTGAGGTCCGATTAATTAGCAGATAATTACCTCCAATGCCATTTAAGACGACCGCCCGTTTGTGTTTAAGCATGCAAACTTTAAAATTCCATAAAAGCACAAGTCTCGTTTTTTTTCTTTAAAAAGTCCATTGCACTCTGCTGAGCTTTGTGATTACACAGAGAAAAAGAAAAGAAAAGAATTACAAACAAAAATTAAAAACATCATTAAAACGTCCTCAACAAATGGGATTGCATTGCTTTGCATTGACATATCCCACACACTGACAACATCTTGGTCCAATGTGTTGTATGTAGTGACACCAGTGGTGAAAGTAAGTCAGTAAAAGCAGCAAATGTCATATTAGGTACATTAAAAAAGAAAAAAAAAAAAACTAGCACTCCAAGCATTACTTTGCTTTAAAAGCTTGTGGGAGGGACGATTAGTTTGAAGTATAACAGCCAATATGACGCCCTGGTTTTTAAATTAATCCATATTCTGTCTTTTGCACGTGTCTTTTCTATCTGTAGCCTCTACTGCAGAATGCATGCAGGCGATGATGCAATAATATGTTATAATATGAAGCATGATTTTGTACTTTTAAGAGAAAACTCTACATGTCCGGGTATTATATTGTATCTGAGCGTTGTTGTAGTGCACAAACATTTAAAGACTATAAAGATGAAACTAGCTAATGTTTCCTACATGATTGTTGTTTACGTGATTGAGCGGTTGTGAGTCAAAAGCACGCTGCATTGCAACAACAGCAATCTGCTATTAATACCAAAGTCATTATAATAATTACTAATAATTAATTTTCTTTAATGACTACATTTATTTTGATGATTTCAAGACGAGTTGATAGAAATGCCCTTAAAATTCCTGAATATCCTTTAACTTTTCTTATCTTTATTTTCATTCCTTTGCATCTTGTTTTTTTTCATATTTATTTATATTTATTTCCAAATCCAAAATGCTGAAAGCTTTTGTTTGTCATATAGGAGGTTGTTGCATATTTATTTAAAGATTATACATTAATATTCTGAATTAAAGACAAACGTTTAGTGTGACTCTTGTTGACGTCTCTAGCCCTTTAACTGTCGTGTTTGCACGGGGCTCAGAATTTACTTTCACCACTGAGTGCGACTGATATCATGGCTTGTGTTTGTGTTGCTGTGTCAGAAAATGCAAAAATGGCACAAAAAGAAGAACTTAACAGTATTTTCATACATCTCAGGATTCTTCATCGTTTGCACTGCGAGTCAAATGGAGCTCCCTGTAAAACAAGCGACCAACAAAATCTAAACGCTGATACTCTGCTCGACCCCCGACCTCTCTCTCTCTCTCTCTCTCTCTCTCTCTCTCCGCTGTCCACCGGTCGAAGACACGGAGGAGTTTTGGAGTTGTTTTTTTTTTGTGTGCCTGATCAGACCCCGAGTTTGTTGGCCTGCGTCAGCACCACCTTGAGCACGGGCATAAACGCAGACGTCTCGCTGAAGTTGCTGCTGCTGACTATGTGGGTGTGGATGTTGAGGCCCTCCATGTACGATCGGGACTCTATGGTCCTGGCGATGTTGTGTAGTCCTCCCACGATGGCGGGAGAGAGCTGGAGAGAACAAAAGAGGGGAAAGTGGAGGTGAGAAGTCACAGGTGTAGCGGACATACCTGGCCTGGCATCAGTCACAAGCCACACACACACCCACGCACACACATGCACACGCAGATTTTACCTAAAAGTAATAAATATAAATATGAGAAAATTGACAAATGTGACAAATTCTGTTCATTAATTTAGAAACAAGAGTTCTTCTTGCACGGAGCCCATGTGTAGAGTCCACTTCTGTTTTTAAATCTAGATTTAAGACTCTGTAGTTTTTCTTTTTGTTTGTTTGTTTTGTGCGTGAGACGCATCCAGTCATTATTATTGACCTCTGTCATGGAGTCGAGTCAAGCCGGACACTCACCGCCTGCTCTCTGAGTTTGTCATAAAGTGCTTCCAACCGTTTGTTGGCGTCGTCGAGCTTCCTCTTCGTTTGCTGCGAAACGATGAAACACAGAAACACAGTTAAACCTCTGATGATTCACTCTGTCCGAGCGGAGACGATCTGCGGCGTTCATCGTCAGACGGGACTCACGGGGTCGGTCGCTACAGCCAAGCACTTCTGGATCAGGCCCTCGAACGTGGTCTTCAGGACCATGTGCTCCTCGGGGATCGGCTTCTTCATGACCTTCTCAGCAGGGATGGACTGAAGAGGCTGACAGGGTCAAACAGACGGAAAAATATAGTGATACACTTGAATTTAATAAGAGTAAATTAAAAACAAAACACTTCACACTTTAGCTAAAGCTCTAAAGACACATTTAATAAATGGTTTACAGCAAACTAAAATGTAGTTATAAACTGGTATAAGGACATTTATTATTAATTATTAATTATATTATTAATAAGTTTATTAATGTTCAGTTTTTGTTATAACGTCTCCTATGAAGACATACTTCATATTATTACAGTCGTTATTACATTAAGTGTTTAAACAGCAGCTCACAGCAGAAGTTGTAATTGTTTACAAAACACTACAAAATAAACACTAGTATTACGTAACTTTTGTCTTTTCTGTTTATATTTTGTGAGCTAATAAAGAAAAAGAAGATCAGATCCACATCTTCAAACTGAAATATAAAATATATATAGCTCACATAAATAAATATAAATGTAAATGTATCAAAACTGTCAATCATTAGGATTATTGTACAACATTTATTTTCTAATAAAGAACTGTTTTGTTTTTGATTTTAAACAGTTTGTTGTGTCAGCACCTTCAGGAAACTGAGGCAACCTCACATCCTCAAGCTGTGATCTTTATTTTCTCTGACACACGACATCTGTGTACCTGTATGAGCTCTCCAGTGGGTGCTCCAGGTGCACCCTCCACACTGGTCCTGGGCATTGCAGGGTTCATGGGTGGAGGGGAGAGCTGCTGGAGCTGCTGCTGCTGCTGCTGCTGCTGCTGCTGCTGCTGCTGCATGCCTGAGTAGGGGACCTGGGCATCGTGCGGGCCCTGGATCATGGCCTGAGGGGCCCCAGAGGACGCCGGCTGGGCCTGAGGGTCGGCGCCCAGCGGAGCCATGATGGGAGCCGTGATGGGGGCAGGAGGAGTGTAGTTCTGTGGGATCTGCTGATTTATGATAAACAAACAGTATTTTATTTAAAACCTGCAACATCGTCAGGTTATCATTGTCTATATATATATATATATATATATGATGTGTCCTGAGCAGCCTTACCTTCTTCTTTGGTGCTCTGCTCAGAGCTGGGGGGTCGTTCCAGCCATTCTGAGGCCCTACAGAGAAAAACAAAGACCTAATGATTCACACTGTCAGGGTTCAGTTTATCTTACGTTACGAAATGTGTTGAGAGTCGGAGCTTGATTGAGTTGATTTGTTAAGCTGCAGCTTTGATCATAAACTTCACAGATACTGTAATTAAACGCCTCAAATCTGCTCTACTGATTGGCTGTAGCATGATGAACGTGATGTCATTCATAATCATATTAATGAGCAAAGCAATTTTTAGTGTAGCTTTAAAATTTCTCTCATTCAGGTAATCAGTTCCAACCTGGACAAGCTGTAAAAACAAATCTGAAATATAATCATCACTCAGGTAATAATGTGTCTGTGCAGCCATGCAAAGTCTCTAGAGCCTGATTACCTGTTTCACCTGTTTCATCCACATGACAACAAACTGCTTCTAGTTATTTATTCATTACGATTTAAAACTACATAAAGATCTGAAGAATCCAGAGATGATTATGTGCGGCCTGTTGATGAACTCAGTCGTGCTTCCTGTGAAACAAGCGACCAACAGCTGAACGATGATAATCAGCTGTACTCTTTAATTAAGTCCTGAGTCATGCTGCTGAAAAGGACAAAGATTTAAGTTTTAAGTTCCTGGACCCACAGCGGCTTCATTTTCACTTTATTTTAACTTAGTAATAATCTGCCTTTTCCATTACCTGCAGCCAGAACAATAATAAAAGACTTTTATAGTGTTTGAAAGTTATTAATACACAAAGTTAAATTATTCCTAAAAAATGTCAAACAGTTTAATTATAATCAACAAATAAATTAAAAAAACAATGATAAACTGATTAAAATGGCAGTTTCATTGAGATTAAACTCTGTATTTTAGTTTATCTAACGTGTTAAATTTTAATTATACATCATTCATTAAATACACCTCAACTTGAAAAAAAATATTAATTATGAGTTAATAAATAAATAAAAATTTACTGTAAGTTATTATAATATTTCAGTGATATTGCATAAGTGTGCTCAGTTCTGTTGTATATTGTAAACACAGAATAAAGAAATTTGCATGATTTAAATGTGATATCTGTTTCTCCTTTTTAATACATTTGCAAAAAAAGATTTTAATTCTGTTTATTTCGTCATTATGAGGCTTTGAGATTAGATTCATGAGGGAAAAGGTGATTGTTTTTAATTATATTTTAGCATAAGGCTGCAACATAATAGTAACAAGGGTCTGAACACTTTCTGAATTCACTGTAACTGAATATAATGAAAGGTGTAATGATTCCTACGGCACACTCCAGGCTTCCTGTTAGTGCTGGAGGTTAAAAAGACGAGTCTGGTTAAAGATGCTCTTGATGTCACAGCTGCAGCTTTTTAGTAATAAATGAAGTGACTCACTAAATGAGAACTACTACTGCGGGAGATGATGTGGCAGTTAGACGGAGGACTTTTGGACACACAGGCTGAGTGAGTGTGTGAGCAGGATGATCAGAGCCATGCAGACCTGTTCTCTGAGAGGCGGGGATCAGCTCTGGGTCAGCGCCAAGCTGTGTACCTGAGAATCCGCTCGGTGGAGGAAGGGGCATGTACGACACAGGAGATCCTGGACCGCCATGCTGGAAAGACGCTCCGGAGGACAGAGGAGCGGAAAAGGAGGAGGAGGAGGAGGAGGAGGAGGCGGCGGCAGGAGTGGGATAGAAAGGAGGATGAGAGGGGGGAGAGGAGGACAGGCAGTGGCTGATGGGAGGTTGTCCGGGATAGACCGGGGGTGCTGGCTGAGAGGGGATGGGCTGGGTGTACTGCGAGAGAAAGCCGGGGGGGTGAGGAAGGGAGAAGGGCTCTGCAGGAGGAGGAGGAGCAGCAGCAGAGGAGGAGTACTGAAGAGGCTGATAGAGAGGCACCCCCCCAGCTCCAGGTGGGTACTGGTTGACCTGGGGGTAAGCTGGGAGTCACACAGGAAACAACAGATGCTGTTAGAGAAAAACTGTTGCATGTTATTCAAACTGTATCATGCAACAGGAAACATGTAGTAAAACACAGAGTGCATGCTAACGTGCTTCATGTTTATCTTGTCGGTTACAAAAGAGATTAACACACTCAGAAGTTATTTAACCATTCTCATTATCTGTTAGTGACTAAAACCGAACACAACAGCACAGAGGAGATCAGACACAGAGTCAAACATTTCCAAAAAACAAAATGTTTGCCAGTGTTTTAAAGACGAGAGAATAAAGGTTGTGTGTTGCTCGTGTGCCGCCTGCTGATGCAACCATGTCTCCTGTGAATGTGCAGGTGTTTGTCTCATGGATTTAGCTCCTAAACAATGATTTAGATTATCTGCAGATCAGTCCACAAGAGGTGCAGCAGGACGGGAGAACAGGTGCTTCTAGTCATTACACTGCGAACAGGAAATGCTAATGGCTAATTCTCTGTACTTTTACTTGCCAAAATGTAAAGAACTAGAGGCTAAAAAAAACTCCCCCCAAAAAACAAAACAGGGTTCAAGTTGTAGCCAAGTGACAACCTCCAGAGCTGAAGGACGAAGCCATTGCTAAAGTACCAAAAACTGCAGTTCCTCTAATGACCACTAGAGTCCGGCTCCGACACTGAGTCGATCCCCCATAGCCTTCCATGTTAAAATGTCCAACTTTACAGCAGAAATAAACATGTTTACAGCCTGGTGCAAAAACAGTTTTGGTGTCTGTAGCGAACGGTTCTGCATAATTGAGGACGTCTTTGCCCATTTTTGGATTAGCCGAGAGTTGGGCGGAGTCAGGCACTGCCAAGATGGTGATGGCGTAGCAGCTCACTCTGAGCTTCAAAGCTGCTCTTCAGAAACCTGTGAGGCTACGTCCATCTTTATTTAGAGTCTAATGTTGTAGCCCGTGTCTCAGTTTTGGCTGAGAGAGACCACATTGTCAGACTTTGAAAACCCCTGCATCAAGTTTTTGAAAAATGTCTTCATTCATTTTCTTCATTCTGGGTTTAAATTAGTCGTATATAAACATGATTTTTAGGATACAGGGTTGCTTGATGATAATGTGACACTCAGAGACACTGCTTCTCTCTCCATAACAGAGATTTTTTTTCCTGAGGTCAATGACCCCAGTTCTACACTTACGCTGGTACTGATGGGAGTACATGTACGCGGGAGTGGAGGAGGCTGGAGGTGGGGCGGCTGTGCCGGAGGCCGGCATCCCGTACATGGAGTTTGAAGCCTCCACCTGCAAAAACACAAAAAAGGAAAATCTGAAGCCATATTTCAAAATAAAAGACAAGAGCACTGCTCACTGGGCTCTGCAGGAGAAGATGAAGCCAGGCTTTTTTCTCCGTGAGGACAAAGTTTAGAGCTGCAAACAAACAGAGGGCAGAACAGTTAAATTTGCCTCTTGTGCTCTTTTTGTAATTCACAAATAAAGTGATTGCTGCACTTCAGTGGTATTTTGCTTGGTAGCTAGGAACAACATGCATGTCATGGTTTAGGGTGTGGAGAGTCATGCAATAAATCACATTAATAATGGTGGTGCAGGAGAAACAAATGAGACTACATGCATCATAGGAGACAGAGGTAACAGGCAGAGTATAGACAGGAAGGGGGGGGGGGGGGATGGGTAGCTAAGGGGAGGGGCATTACCACAGACATAGCAAAGAGAAGTCTCGGACGTCAGGCACTGCTTGGATCAATGGAAACAGTTTAGTCGGTGTGTGTGAGGTTGGATGCGTGGTCAGTATATGTACCTGCTGGTCTGAGGCGCTGCCTACTTGAAGAGGAGGTGGGACATTGGGGAGGGCTGTGGGAGTTTGGTTACTCCAGGAGGTGACAGTGGAGGCAGCCCTCACCTGAAGCACACAGAGGCAACATACCGATGATGGCCGCGGCACGGGGAGGGAAAACACCAAACAACGCCACGACGCCACAATGCACGAGCATTGGACCAGTGGAGACGAGAGAGGACACAGTAAGAGCCAGGGTTCAAATAACAGCAGGAACACAAGCCCCCCCCCCCCCGAGAAGAATTCATTTCTCCCAATCATTAGGGGGCAACAACACCCTCCCTGCAATAAGCACATTTATCAATCAGCATGTGATTTAAACCCTGGCTAGAATGGACGCCCAGTCAATGAAATGACTCCAACACAACAGCAAACTGCAGTGAGCACTTCACCAGGTGGTTAGTTAGTGTGGAGGTGTGGTCAGAACAGGGAAAACACCGGTCGGAGATCTGGTTTCAGAAACCCCAAACCTAAGTCTGTGTGGATCCTGATGTCTGACGGTTCAGAGTCTGAACAGAGGTATAAACAATACGGACGCATAAAAGCCATATTTATAAAACAGTGTCTGCGCTTCTCGCACAGCTTTTACTACTGAGTGAAGAGCGGTTAAAAACAAACAACAACTTGGATCCTTGTGTGAACTTTTAAGGCGGTACAGAGGAAAATCAGCGGGACGTACTGGCTGGTAATACTGCTGCTGTGCAGGGGTGGGGGCAGAGGCAGGTGTAAGCATGGGTACAGGAGCTGCTGGAGTGGGCTGAGGCACCATGGCGGGCTGGACCGGGGTGAAGGGATGCCGGGGCAGGGCGGAGCCGTGCTGAGCCCGAGCGGCAGGCAGCTGAGTCCGAGCTCTCTGGGGTTGCACCGGAGCTGCGGGAGCCGCCGGCTGCTGCCCAAGAGCCCGACCGAGACGGTCACGGAGCTGCTGTACGGCAACCTGTACGGACAAAACAAGAAACATACACTGGGAAGATTGTCACAGGGTGATGTTTCGCCTGGTACATTATTCAGTGGGAAGACGCACCAGGCTGCAGGTGTGTCTCATACCTGGTTGGTGTTGTCAGGCAGGTAGGTGATGGCGGTGGACAGACTGCCCTGCGAGGCCAGCAGGTTGGCGTACTGGCTCATCTTCTCGGCCAGTAGGATGCCGATAGCAGCGGGACCGGAGCGCTGGGTCTGCTCGACTGCACGCCGCAGCACCACCACCTTCTCCACCAGGTCCTGAGCGGAGGAAACAAAATTAAGATTCAAGCTGCTTTAAAAAAACGGTTTAGCTACGTCACTTGAGGGCAACAGAAGAAGCGTAAAAAGGCAAAATAAGACATTTAATCACCGTGTGTAGTTGTAATGTTAGCAAATTGACAAAAATATCTAGCTAGTCTAGCTCGTTGCTAACGTTTGCAGGCAGGAAAAACCAAAACAATCAGCTAAAAGAAGCTAAACTGCTTTCAAAGACACAGCTGTAAAAAATTCGGCTTGAGTCCAGCTGGTGAACAGAGTCGAGCATCTAGCAGCTAAAGAGCCAGATTTTTTCCTCAGGAGTCGATAGAGACCAAAAACAGAGTTAAAAGAGAGGTAATATTCTCAATATATGAATAATAATTTTGATCCATATCTGCTGGATGTGTAAATAAATTACCGTCTGCTGAAAAGTGATTATATGTCATATGTTTCCAAGTGGTCGAAACAATAAGTTATAGCAGGTTTAAGATACAGATCTGCAGTCAGTCTCTCAACACACCTGCAGAGAGAGAGGACAGTGTCCGTCCTGCGCTTTGGTCCAACAAGACACGAGTTTCTCCACGTTGCCAGCACAGATGTAACAGAGGCAGGCCTGAGCTCGCAGTTGAGCGACCTCAGCTGCTTCCAGTCTGTTCCCGAGAAGGTCTGACAAACAGAGAGGTTCGGTTTGAGGGGATGAATTCGTGGCTGAGCTGAGAATGTGACAGAAAAATCAAACGATATGCACGAAAACCAACCGCAGAGAGAAGAGAACTCCTCGGGCTGAGCGTAGGTCATGACGGCGGCCAGAGCCTCCTTCCAGTTCTGCAGGTCGCACGTCTTCAGGATGTCGTGCCAGTCTTTCATCACCACAGCGCTGATCAGCTGCGCGACAAAAAGACACAATTACATCACTGACAATAAACATCTCAATTCATAAAAACCTCAGTTAAAAAAAAAAAAAAATCCCTCTGGTGGTTACACACCTTGGTTATCTTGCTGTGTGTTTTTGTAAAATACTTCCTCTGGGTTTTCTCTAAGAGGTCGGCCCCTCCGGCGATGGCCAGGATGATGCTGTCCGCCATCCGGTTGTCATGGAGACAGAGCTCCACGGCTCCCTCGAAGTCTCCCGTCAGCAGAGCCTGTGTGATCAGCCCGTCCACATCTGCAGGACAACAAAAAGTAAATAACCAAACACCACAGTCACAGATTTTTAAAAACAAACCCACTGGACTTTGTGAGCTGAATTATTACGTTTACTCACCTTGACTGATGCGGAGACTGACTCCTTCTGCGGGGGCTGGAGCTGGCACCTGAGTGGGCTCCTGAACTGGAGCTAAGGGCTCAGCTAGACTGGGCTCCGCTAGACTGGGCTCAGCTAGACTGGGCTCGTCCTCCACTGGTGCCGTCGTCTCCTGAAACACCAGAGAAACATCATTTATGAAGGTGTTTTGTCTGTTTGCATGTGTTTTCTTAAGTTGCACATCTTCAGTTCAACTGTGCTAGAAAATGGCATCTATGAGAACATAGAATGATTAAGTTTTACCTCCTCTAAGGGGATTTCCTCCTCCTCCTCCTCCTTCTCTTCTTCTTCCTCCTTCTCTTCCCCCTTGTCCTCCTCCTCCTCCTCCTCCTCGGCCTCCCCCTCTGGGACACCCTGCTCCACATTTTCCTCTGGTTCACTGGTGAGAAGATCGTCCTCTGGATCTGCTGCTGCCGCCGGAGTTTCAGTCTCCGGTTCAGGAGCGGAGTGAAGTTCGAGCGTGGCAGCCGGCTGGAGGTTTGCTGCAGCGATCATGTCGAACGCTGCCTCTGGAGTGTCAGCAGGCGGCACGAGGCTGAGGTCTGGTAGCGGCTGCAGGGTGGCTGGAGCGGGCGCCTCCACCTGGATTACGAAGGAAAATATGGGTTCAGAACAAGTCAGGGACGACGAGTGAGGGAGAAGCGTGAGGCTGAAACGCCACGTAGGTCAGACCACGAGAGAAATCAAGTAAAAGAATATTTGCAAGTGAAGGATGTGTGCAGAGAGGTCAGCTAAGGTCACACTTGGTTTCGTTTTGTGGGTAATGACCGCTCAGGATTAAGTCTTTGATCCACGTTAAGATGATGAGAAGGATAAAATTAAGTCCAGGAAACATCCGACCGGAGAGGAAGTCAAGTTCGGATGTAACGCTGGAGTCAGGGTCATGTAGGGTAGGGTAGGGCGAATAGGCAACACATTCCCACCTCAGAGCAGGAGCACTTCACCAACACCATCCGCGTGTGAGAGAAGAGAGTCAAATTTTGTCCTTACAAATGATTCCTGCTTCCTCCGAGCAGTTTCACAAACTGGAGTCACACTTGCGACACTTCCTCATTACGAAATGTAAGACAGAGAGTTCGCAGCACGTCGGCCAAGAACCGCGGCTCTAATTACAGCCAATAACAGTCGAGCCTCTCTGTTGTACCAGTGTCAGCGGAGGAATGCGGACGGCACAGTGAGCAAGAACAAATGAGGTGTAGTGTGGCGAGGCAACGGACAATTAAAGAGCATCTCAATTAATCGAGAAGGGAAACTATTGAGCTGCTCGGCAATGTTGATCAGCTGCTCGGTGATAATTCTCTGTTGATTTTATATTAATTTTTCTTCTGGTCATTTTTAAACATTCCTAAAATGTCAGACTATTCCTTTAAAATGCCACACAGAAGTTGAACTCACCTTCGGAGGCTCGGCAGGTTTTTCCTCTAGTGCTGCTGAAATCTAAACAACAAAATGGACACGTTCATCACAAGATGCACAGAAAGACACTGGATCAAAGTATAAATAAAGAGACTTAAAATTGGAGCAAATATATAAACAGCATCATGTGGAAAATACATTTCACCTTTAAGGCTAACTCCTCTTTGTTGTACCCCAGAAGCTCCAGGTACTTGCTGCGGATGTCGCTTTCAAAATTAGCCTGAAAAAAAAAAAACAGTCACAGAGAAAAAGACTTATGGGCTGTTTTCAAATTTATCCTTGATATTCTAGGAGATGAATCTTTCTGAATTGTTCACCTTGAGGAAAGACCAAACTGTCTTCTCAAACTCGTTCTCAGCTGCGTCGATCTTTTCCTGGCAGAAATCCACGAAGCTGCCGGCGCTCAGGGTGGCCTGCAGCTGATCGGAGCGCTTCAAGAAGGCCGTTTCTGTGACAACCTGACTGATGTGTACGACGTGCGAGGCGGGCTGCTGGGGCTGCTGAGGGTTCGGCTTCTCGTTCTCCAGAGACACCAGCTTCCCACCGAACTACGAGAGAACACAAGCCGAAAGTGAGTGTGTGAGTGTAAAAATACGAACACACGACGCTGAGGGAAGGTAAAGAAGCGGGACTCACGGCAAACGAGGCTCCCACGGGTCTGCGGATCCACTTGGGTGGCTTCTTCAGGGGGTTTATCGTGGCTGGAGGGGCTGTAGTCTGGGGCAGCTGCAGCGGGGGCAACGCTTGTCCCGTCCCAAAAGGATCCATGTTCCCGAAGGAGGTGCTAATCTGCAACCGACGCCCAGAGGGACGTTAGACAAAAGACAAAAGATGCCGGAAAACAAATGAAGTGCAGCTCTGACAAAAAATGTTGAGAGGTGGGAGAGTTCAGGAGAATCCAGACTGGTCAGCTGGTGTGCAGGCTGCGTCTGTACTAAATGTTTTTAGCCTGTCGTCTCCTCAGAGCACCTTATAATTGCATTATTCACCAAACACGTCAAGAACCGCCCTCCGTTTCTGTCTCGGGAGATTAACTCTCACCTGGTCGGCGTGTCTCTGGCTCTGCGCCTGGCTGCTGCCTCCCATGATGGAGTAGATGTCGATGTGTCCGTCGAAGCCCGCCGCCGACAGCACCACGGGGTTCCTGGGGCACCACTGGATGTCAAAGCACCACTGGCTGCTGGTGGGCAACTCGTACAACACCTGAAGAATCAATCGGAGCAGGACATTTACTTAAGAGGATGACAGAAGAGGGCGTTTCGTCGTGAGGTCGTCATCAGTGTAAGACGCACTCATGAAGTCAATAACCTATGTGCAACACTTTTACCTCCGCTGTGTTTGGATTCCAGCACAGGATCCTGCTGTCCTTCCCACAGCTCAGCAGCAGCTCGGGATCAGCCAAGCTCCAGGCGATGGAGAGGACGCCCCTGCACATAAAGACCAGTACAGATACGTGTTAAGAAAAGTCTCAATATTATATAAAGATCAAAACCAACAATGTGTTAGCCTGTCTCTTAATACTTTGACATCCCCTGGCGTTCAGTGGCACAAGTCCATTAATTAAATGTTTACAAAAGGTTTGGTTATTTTCTAAAACAGCTGGGAACTGCAGTTTTTAGCAAACAGGAAGTAGTGCATCTGTTTGGGGACTATTTTAAGCAGCAGATCAATCCTCATTTGGTTCTCTGGTGAGTATCTGAGGCAGAAGAACAGTGTGTGTGGGAACTGAGTCAAAATAAACTACAGAGTGTGTGTTCATGGTGATGAGGGATGACCCAGAAGAATAAGATATACAGTATATGTGTTAGCAGGTACATTCATAGTGTTTTTTTTTTTAATTACTTTATTCTTTAAAGCCACAAAGGAAAGATGAACTCTGTGTGCCACATTTAACAGAAGTGTTTACCGTGTGTGATTCTCTAAAATCTTGAGAGGAGAGGTAGCAAAACGCAAGTCCCACATCTGGATGACTGGCATCCGATCGTCCTCCGAGGCCAAGACCAGCTGAGTGGCCACCTCTGGGTTCCAGGCCAGTCCAGAGCAATGCATCTAAAAACAAAGACGTGCACACGAACGTTTCAGTTGTGTGTACAGCGCCACAGGATTGTGAGGAAATAAAACACATTTTTTGCATTCGTAAGATTTAAAAAAACAAAACAAAACAAAAAAAACAACGTACTCTGTTGCTGTGGTCGCTGACTTTAATGATGAGGTCATTCTTGCGGAGGTCCCACACTGAGGCTCGGCCACTCGGGCTGGCAGAGGCCAGGATGTGTTGGACCTGTCTGTTCCACGACACACAGCTTATATCCTCCAGAGGCTTTAAGACAAAAACCAGCAGCTTTAATTTCCATCCAAACTGCTAAAAATGATTATTTACACACATGAGATGATACAGATTGTGTCAAAAACATCTCGCTCATCTTCAGTGATGCTTCCCAAATATCACTTCTTAATCACAGACATGTTTTAAATGTGGATAAGTCCAAGTGCATGTTACCCTCCACTTCCCCCACCTACCTGAGTTTTAGGTCCTGGTGTCATTGGAGCACCGAAGTTATTCATGTCCCAGATATAGATCTCAGACTCATTCCCACCTGACGCGAACAGGTTTGTCTGCAATAAACAGAAAATACAGCACGAGTAACAGCAGTGCACGCACACGACGCTGGATTCACCTACGGCGGATTAAATGGATCGTACTTGGAAGGGGTTGACGTCGAGAGCTCTCACTGGGCCCGTGTGCCTGTCGCTCTCAGTGATGATCACGTCGCTCTCTCCAGCCATGATCTTCGCAGGGTCGTAGAGGATGACGTTGCCGTTCTCGCCTCCTGCGATAAGGACGCCGGACGGGCGACCTTGGTCTTCCATCCCGTAGGGAGCCCACACCAGTTTGTGGTATCTTTGGGGTGAAAAGAAAAGAAAAAAAGATTATCAGTTGAAAATGATCAACTGACGGAAAATTAATCGGTTACTTATTTAATTATTGGGGTTTTAGTTTCTCATCTGTGAATATTTGCTAATTTTCATTCTCACACGTGACAACAGATTCATAGACAATAATAATAATTCTTACTTTCAGGTCTAAAACCAGCGGTTTTTATTACCTGTGAGTGGAGGAGAAGCTGCCACATGACTTCATGTCCAGAGATGGCTCAGCCAAGTCCAGCTCGAAAAACTCCAAGGAGGCACTGGTGCTGAAGGAGGCATCCAGCTGCTGGGCTGATGTTCCTGCAGAAGGAGAATACAGGAACCTTTGGTATAGAGCTGCAGCAGTCAGCCGATTAATCGATTAGACAGTTATTTTGATGATCAATTAAGTTATTTTTCAAGCAAACTGAAACGTTGCTAGATTACAGTAAACTGAATATCTTGGGGTTTTGAATTGCGGGTCAGAAAAAACAAGACATATAATTATATCACCTCAGGCTGTAAGACATTGTAATGGGCTCTTTTCACTGTTTTCTAATGTTTTATAAAACCTTGAAAATAATCAGCAGATTGACTGATAATGACATTGTCCCTTAGTTGCAGGTCTGCTTTGGTACAAACTCACTTCAGCTACAAATTCTGTGGTGTGTGGTAGTGGTTTATGCTATATACTTCACATAAAAATAAACATTAAATAAATTAACTCATGTTGTGTCACATGATACATGATGTCACAGGTGCATGGTCTATGACTCAGATGACTTGAAGTGGCTGTATGTATGAGTGGCTGGAAGTCTAATGATATAATTGTCCTGTTAAAACAGCAGCAGCAGCAGCAGCAGCAGCAGCAGCAGCAGCAGCAGCAGCAGCAGCAGGCCTGTGCTGGTGCTTGCTGTGTGCTCATACCTGTAGCCAGGTAGATGGGGTGGTGCTGAGCAGGACTCCAGCTCTGAATGGCTGTGCGTTTGATCTCTTTGAGTTTCATCCTGGAGGAAAAAAAAGTAAAGATTTTGAAGGATCCTGCAGTAATTACAGTAAATTATAAACGTATTTTGTGTGGCTTCAAACCTTTATTTTATTGCATTGGGTTTAAGTGTTTAGGGTTTGTTCATATTTTCCAGTCTGCCTTAAAACAACACTTGAATGCTCAAATATACATTGACAGATCTACCAGTTGCTGCAAGTGTTGCTGCCTGTATTGGCTGTGAAAAGATCTCTTCTTAATGTGATTCCAATTTAAGTGATGGGGGACAGAGTCTACAGTCCTGTGTCTGTGTTAGTAAGCCAAATCAAGAGGGTGTCTTTCAAAGTTAGTTTTTTTGGTATGAAATGTCCTCCTTGTGGCACTGTCCCTCCACCACTGATCATAAAGACACTGTAACTTTAGAGGATACCATTTTAATTACTGTTTATCAAACAAAGATTCAATTTTGTCACCCATCACTTACATTTGAAACACCTTAAGAAAGGATCCCTTCACAACCAGGATCGATTAATCACAACAATGTACAGTAAAGAAAAAGTGAATCAATCCTTTAAAAGGTAAATACAAGCTAGTTAAGGTGCATGGTGATGGTGTTACTAGTATGGGACAGGTTTATAAACATTAAATTAAGATTTGACTCCCCCTCTTTTTAATATTGCATTTTCACCAGCTCAGCTCCTGTAATAAACACAATAGTTATAGATTTACAGACAAAGGGCTACTCTGACTGACACTAATTATCTCATGGGTACTACTGTGTTGTAAAGCTGCCATGGAGGAAAAGACACTCAGTTTGCACTGCAAGTGCCATGTGAAATAAATGTCAATTTATTTATTTCACGTTTGTCATTAATGAATCCACCTGGACCTGGATAAGCAGCAGAAAATAGACGAACAGAAGGATTAACCAATTTAAAAAAAATAACTAATTAAGGTCAAAGGTCTGCAACAATAGCACGGAGAAATTCCTAGAGATTTATTACTAACATGACTGCCTTTGTAAATGAAATGTGAGGCTTTTTAATACCTTCTTAGGCCTTTTTTTTTTAAAAACCTGCATGAATGCTTTTTTTAAAAAGACTATTCAAGTCCTGCAGATACCCACGATATTACAAATGTATTATGTGGCTCTGAAGAAACCGGGTGTACTTTTTGTACTTATGGTTTAACATGAGCAAATTCAGTGAGCTAGCAACAAGCTAACAGCGTCAGGAGCAGAAGAAATGTGTTGTCACTTTTTGTGAACGGTATTACAGCTGCAAAGGGTCAGATAGTCCGTTTTCTAGCCTGTTAGCAGCCAGTGCAAAATACAACAGTGAGGACAGTTACACACAAACACACAGAGACGTGATTACTTCACTAAAGCGTCTTACCTTCCTTTCTTTGCTCCTTGTTACATGAACGAACATATAAAACAGGTGACAAACACAGCACAAGTTCCCCCTTTGCTTCTGCTCAAGGATTAACGGCTGTGAAAACACAAGAACGGGAGGCTACCGGGTCCCGGCTGCGGACTGCAGGCGGATTTCCACGTCCTCACTGGTCTCCATCAACGTGGCACTGAGCGACTGCCTCCTCCTACCACGAAGAAGAACAACAACTTCCGGGGGACGTCCAAACTCCCCCTCCCTCAAACTAGCACCATGCTAAAAATGCTAACGTGCATATTCATAAACCAAACCGCCGCAGACTGTTTTTATTTTTAAAATATATATTCTGGTACAAATGCGCCAGAACTTCCGTCTTATGTCATGATTCAATTTATCGATTTATTTTCTTTTCGGTATATCATTTATTTGAAATTATTTTGTTTCTACTTGTATCCCCGAACTTGTGTTCTGTATATTATTTAATTTGTGTTTTGTAATATTGAAAAACTTACAACACACGCACACCCATAATAAAAACCGTTAGGAGAATAAGTAATACAAGTGGGACATTTTACATGTACATATGGAAATATGGAATAATGGTGTTCAATTTGTTAATATAATTTTATGGTGAAATACTTCATAAACACATGCAATTATTCTAAATCACCAGTGGAAAAAATATTCAGATCTTTTATTTAAGTAAAAGTACCAGTGTGGAAATAATGTTACAAGACAAAAATCACATTTAAAAATTTCCTTCAGTAAAAGTTGATGACCATCAAAATATACTTTTAAATAGCCAGTAGTAAAAGTAAATAAAGTACAATTACCTCAATAATGTACTCAAGTACAGTACTTGAATAAATTCAATATAGTTACTTTCCAACACTACTGCCCAACTTAAATAAATATGAGCTTCCTCTGCACTTGAAGTCTGCAATGTGGGAAAGTCAGGCGATGAATGTACAAAATATCCAAACAGGTTGGTAAACCTAATTCCCCAACAGATACCCCACCATCCAAAAACCAAAAACACAGCAACTTTTCTTCACAATTTTGGTATTTATTTGGAAAATGAATACATTAAAATAAAAACAAAGAAACTACGCAAATACTTATGGTAGATGTGCCAAGAGACACGCTCTGCATTCACTCCAGCTGGTCAACCCTGAAAGAACAATTCATATATTAAAGATTAATATTTACAGTCACATCTGCTCTACACCTAACACCAGCAACACACTCTTTAATAAGACAACAAATGCCAAAACCCTCATTTAGAAGTTCATGAATAATCTTCCCCAGACATATGAATGGGTCAGATGGGTAGTGATTGATATAATCATTGGGATGGCCATTCTCTTTTGTTACATAAATAAAAATAACAGAACAGCAATACATACATGTATATGAGGTCCACAAGGCTCATTCCACTGGAACCCTTTTCTTCAGATGACCTGACAAGATGTATTTAGATTTATAGAAGTTAACAATGACCTTCAGAACAATCAAATACCGTGACAGAAATAAAATTTGACATTTATAGGTGTGCAGTAGTTTGTACATTTGTTTAATTAAACTAACACCATAGATCACTTATACAGGGAAATATTGTACACACAAACAAATAAAATCAAGCGATAGGATTATAAGACGTACGCCGAATTAAAGAGGTGGTTTTCAAACTTCAGAAACTAGATTGAGTCGTGTTTTGTTGATTTTTAATCTTGGTAAATATACGAGCTTTTTACCACATCACAATTTTTAAACTGGAGTTCTGCGTATGGCTTAACACGCCGACTTCTTCACCACGTGGTCTGGTGGTGGTGGGTTGACGACATGTAGCCGCTTGATTTAGCTGTTTACAACACACTGACACCACAAACCACAGTAATAAACGACTAAATTTAAAACACACTTACCTCATTAACGTACAAACATCCCCACGTGTAGATAATACACGTTGACCTAACGTTAATTAACGAAACCTCTTTTTAAAGTAACGTTACAAACAGAGGACTTAGCTTGCTAGCTAGCTAGACATACTGACTGGATGTATTTAACATGCGCAAAAAGTGCAAACGCTTGTAGGTAAAATATCAGTGATCATATTAACACTTAACTGACGTACTCCAGCACCCTACATATCTAGGCTACAACTACGCGCCTCGACCTAACTTCTTCTTCTTTTACTTCCCCTGCTTCCTTCTCCTCCTCTTCTTCTACTACTTCTTCTTCTTCCTCTTCTGTAAGGCGGTTGAAGTCCAACAATAAGGTGTATTACGCCACCTAGTGGGCTGGAGTATGGCTATGTACTCTAAACTTTTTGTTTTTTGTTTGTCTTTTTGTTTTAAAAAAAAAAGAAGTATCTAAATTGGAAATTTAAAAGCAACCAGACATATCAATTCTTAAGTAAAAGAAACAAATAAAATAATTTAAAAAAGGCTATACAACACATCAGCCAAAGGATGTGGATTAATCTAATTATTATTGTTTATTTATTATTAACTTTTTATTATTATTATCATTATTATAAACAATGAGCTAATGGACACATGGATATCCCTAAGGGATAAATAAAGTATCTATCTATCTATCTATCTATCTATCTATCTATCTATCTATCTATCTATCTATCTATCTATCTATTTATCTGTCTGTCTATTTTAAACGACAGACTTCTTAAGACAAACATTTTGGGATAGTTATTAACTTCTGACATGGTTACAAACGGTCTCTAAACTGCATCTGTCTCTCAGGAATCTCCTTCACCTGCATCCAGTGTGTCCACTATTTATTGGTCTGATTGGTCCCTAATATAATTGACACCAAAAAGTTTCACCTGTTTAAAAGTTTAATTAATCTTAAATAGTTTTCTTTGAAATGTAATAAAACAGCACTAAAAGGGAACAGCATGTCAACTTAATATTAATCAACAACATGTGTATCTTATTCATCTTATCCACTCTATAACTTGAGTGCTAACAGACAACACTGCTGTATTTTCTCTTAATCATACCAACAAGTATATAAACAATCTATTATTTCATTGTTTTATTCTATTTCTTTTATTGTGACATCAATATGAAAACTTTTTGTGTTTGTTTTCTGTCATTGTGAGGTGTTTACTGTGAATGGGACACTGAGAAATCTGTGAATGTAGCTTTTTATTGGTTGAACCTGGAGTATGAACTTTACCTTGTAAAACATCATTGCTGTTGGAAGGATATTGTTGGAGTAACATTCTTGCAATGAAGTCATAACACTGGAGAAAGGAAGCTTGAAAAAGGTTAATTGGGGGAAGGGGTGATTTAGCAATTACCAAGGGTTTAAAGAATGTGGGAGAACCGGGAGCACACGTGAGGAAACCCACAGGGGAATGGGGGTGGGGGGTGGGAGGTGGGGATGACCCTGGATGTGAGGCAGAGAGGGGTTTTTATTTTATTTTGGATAGTTTTAAAGGATGTGGGAGAAACGGGAGCACCCGGAGAAAACCCACAGGGGGAATGGGGGGTGGGGGGAATAACCTGGATGTGAGGTAGGAGTGGGGTTTTTTTTTATTTTGCCTGGTTCTAAAGGACGTGGGGGGGGGGGGGGGGGGGGGGGTGAAAATAGACAGGGAGAGAAGGAGGAAGGAGATAGGAGACAGGAGATTGGAAGGAGAGAGGAGACAGGTGATAGGAGACAGGAGAGGGGAGAAAGTCAACTTAATATTAATCAACAACATGTGTATCTCATTCATCTTATCCACTCTACAAATTGAGTGTATTTTCTTTCTCTTAATCATACCAACAAGTATATAAACAGTCTATTACTCCATTGTTTTATTCTATTCCTTTTATTAGGGGGGGTAACCTGGATGTGAGGCAGGAAAGGATGTGGGAGAAACCGGAGCACCCGGAGAAAACCCAAAAGGGGTGGGGGGGTGGGGCTAACCTGGATGTGAGGCAGGAAAGGATGTGGGAGAAACCGGAGCACCCGGAGAAAACCCAAAAAGCGTGGGGGGGTGGGGGAATAGACAGGAGAGAAAAGAAACAAGAGAGGGGACAGGTGACAAGAGAGAGGAGAAAGGAAATAGGACATAGGAGACAGGTGGTAGGAGACAGCAGGGGAGGACACGGGAGTATCATCTAAATGACACTAGTTCTACCCGCTGAAGATGTTGGAGAGGCCTTTTCTCATAGAAGAGAAGAATCTAGAGATGGCGTTACGCTGGTTTCGTTGTGTTATTCCTTTCCTGAAGGAGAACGCGATGTATTTGTAAAGTTCTAGTTTGTGTAACTTCATGGAAACCAGCACCATCTCTGCACAGCTCCATTTCTTACACAGATCCTTGAAAATGATCTTGTCGAGGTGTTGAATAGTTTCTGTGGTGATCTGGAAATCGGTGCCTTCGACTTGGGCCCATGTTTCTTCAAACAGATGTTGAATGATGGCCTCTGAGTCTTCAGTCACCATCACTTTTGCCTTTTTAAAAGTGCGTGTGACAAGTTTCTCCACGAGAACCCTGATGGACATCTTGTTTCTTTCTGCCTGTGCTCTTGTGTCCTGCACAGGTTCAGCCTGTGTCTCCTCACTAGCTGAGGCAGACACTGCAGCAGTTGGTGCTGTCCCTTCCAGGAGCTTTGAAGATGTCAGTAACTCGGTGCCCATTAAAGCTCGTGTCACCCTGCGACTGTGGCTGGTAGCCTGAGTGCTCATCCACCAGCTCATCAGTGCAAAGAAAGACATCACTCTGTTCTGAATGTCATCAAACATGTTGGCGTGTGAATAAGGAACATGCACTGTGCTGGAGGAGCTCGTCTGTGTACTTAGTGATGAAGTATTCTCTGGCCTCGTGTCTATGATGTGAGTGTACAGCAGTTCGGTGAGTGCTTGTGCGAATTTAGGTGGTGAAAGTTTTTTGACTCCCCGAAACACAACCTCTTCTCCAGTCGTGTCTTTTGTCATAAGCAGAGAGTCAACACTATCCATGAGGGACTGGAGTGACTGGACTGACTCTCTGCTTTTAGCTTTGGAGTCCTGGCGGAATTTCGCCCTTATTTGTGCAACTATCCGATGAATGGATGCGTGTACAAATGTCCTTGCAAAAAAGTTCTTGATCTTCATCCTCAAGTCTTTGAAAGACACTCTGTGTCTCTTTTGGGATTTGGTGCTTGGACATGCAGATCTTGTCTCTGATTCTGTGCTTAACAGAGCAATTTCATCTGCAACAATCTGAATCTCCAGAGAAGATGCAGATTGCAGCAGATCATTGTCAGAGTCTGACATTTCTTCTAGAAGAGGTGCTAATATTGCACGCACTTCTTTGCTGATTATTTCCTGGACAGACTCTATGTTCTCTTCCAGGCTTTCTTCCTTCTCTATGGAGGTGGTCGGTTCTTCTTCTGTTCGTCTTTGTGTCATTGGGATGAAAATCTTTGCGGCAAATCCCTTTAACATTTCGCAGGCACGATCCACCATCATGTTAAGTCTTTTAGGGGGAATGAGGCGATTTTGTGGAGACTCCAAAGATCCGCTAGAGAGGACAGAGCTGATACTTTCTACAACCTCTTCCACAAACAAGTCTGTCAGTTTTTCTGAGCTGACACACTGGACATGGTCTTTAACGTTGAGAGCCTCAACAAAACTGTGAGAGAGTGCATCACCCAGACTGGACTGAACACACTCCTGAGACACGAATGCATGTGACTCCTTAACAGCCTTCAACACGACTGATGAAATAATTTTAATCAGTTTCATCAGCAGCTCTGCCAACAGAACTTTGGTGGTAAGATCAGGGGTACCAGAGTTTAATAATGCCCACTGTTCTGTTGTCAACTTCGTGAAAAAGTATTCAACCAGTGGGCGAAGAGTATCTACTTGAATCTCTGGTATCTCCATTGGCTGTGGTACCTCACTTTTATCCATGATAACTGTTGGTGTTTTCAAAAATCCTTAATTTAACTGTTGGTGTTTTCAAAACTTCTTGATTTAGCTGTTGGTGTTTTACAAAATCCTTGATTGAGTATTCTCGTACAGGTCTGTCAATTTAACACTAGCTGAAATGAAGACTGAATGTTTACCTTTGATATATCTATATATATATATAGATAGATATATCAAAGGTACACACGTCATTCACACATCAAAGGCATTCCATGTGACGTCTCACATCAAAGGAATGGACTGCACGTTAAGCCCCGCCCCTAACGCGTGTGCCATAGCAACCGTTGCTAAGCACCTGCGGCGTGCTTTCATCGAGCTCTCGTTTTCATCGGGGTGAGCTGAAAATATAGTCAGGCGGAGAAGAAGGTATTTTCAAACCAACCAGCTACAGCTGCTAAAATATGCAGTGACAGTTTTAAATCCAGCGTAAAACAAACAGGGAACGTTCCCCCGGAAGTTTACAACACGTTTATGACGTCTGCCACTGGTCCCCACCACAACGCTTCCTGAGGGACCGGGACGGTATTTACGTTCATCAAAAAGTCCGAGGCTATAGGATTCCAAAATAAGAATCCAATTAAAAGATCTATTCGATTTTGGAACCAATCCTATAGGACAAAATCCTACATTAATGAAATCCGATATATAATCGTATAGCATATGTCCTATAATACTATAGGATACATGTTTTATATAATCCTCTAGATTGTATCCTATATCATTTTATATAGGATAAAATCCTATAGGATTGGGATACATGCCTGTACGGACTATAACAACCAACAGGACTATCATATGATTAACCCTATAAAATGCATCTAATCTAATTATAAAAGCCCGAAATTCCACATTTCATAAACCTGCAGAAATGTAAAAATTTGAAATCATCTAGAAATAGTATTTCTTTCTTTCTTTCTTTCTCAAATCCATTACAATAAATTCAAAATCCTTTATAGTACATGCTTTTATAATTATATTGTCCTTACTCTCTAAAAACTTTGATTGAATGACACTGAGGTCGCTCTAAGTCTCCGCTCATCTTGTCTTCATCTGCACACTTCTGGACAATCAACTTCTTCATTCCACCTTTTCCCAGGTCAGATTTGGGAGTCGTGTATGCTGCAGATTAAGAAGGAAGTTGGCAATTAAATAATCAGCCATTAGTTGGTTTGTGCAGTTGGGGGTATAAAAGCATAATTCATAGGAAATAAAACCAAAAAGTATACATAATGTAAATTCATTTT